TTTATACAAAATATAATTTAATAGAAGAAAACGAATGGGATTTTGTGAAACGTAATATAAAAGTCTACAGAAGGTTACGCAAATTTTGAAAGTTTTTTTTCTAGCCATGTTACAGAATCCAAAACAAACTATTCAAACCTAAAAATTCTAAGTGATCATTAAAATTTAGCAGAATATTTTTTTTGTATTGCATTTAAGAGTGTTCCTTGAAGAGAAGTTTCCTGCCCTGACAAAAATTGTCTGTGTGACAATGGGACATGCTACTTGTGATTTGGTCCTACAGTTGCAGCAGTATGTGCACTTCTTGGTACATGAAAGTTTTCTTGCAAATTCCCAGTAAGCCCCCACCCATTCAAACTTAGACGATTGCACAGTTGGTGCTGTGAACTGTGCATGTCTGTCCCTGGTCTCTAATGCATCCTACTGTGATCTGGCCATCTTATTTTTCATGAGAGTTCTTTAGGGGAAAATCCTTTCTTTTATTGCTGTATGTAAAAAGAAGCCCTAAAACATACAGCAAGTGCATTTGGGCCCAGTTAGGAGTTCCAGGTCGTACCATAGCCTAAAACACCCACCCGAATGCCAGTTTAAAAAAATAAGGGGTTGGGGGGGGAAGCACAAAACCAGATAGTTTTCAACATTGTAAGGAATTTATTTTGCTCCTTACCTTAGTTATCAATGAGCATGTTTAGTTGATCTGGTTTTGCTTTTGTTTCCAGCCTGTTTGCTTTCTCATTCTCAAGCCCTAGAGCCTTCAGTTTTAGTCACTGCATGACATCGCTTAAATCAGAGTTGGAATGAAGTCACAAAGTGAACAGTAAGCCAATCTGCTCCAAAATTCATGGGAGGAACCTGCATTTGCCGTTACTAGCATAGATTGGTAAATGAATACTGACCAGTGTGAAATTAAGTTCACCTTAGCTTAGCTCTTCGTTTTGTTGTTTTATCAAGTTGGTTGTTTGTTAGTGTTGATTGCAAACATGTTATTCATGCCTCTACTCCCAAGTATCCGTCCTTTGAGTTTCGATGAGTAAAGTGGTTTGGAAAGAATCCAGATCAGTTCATGCAGAGGCTATGCACGTTAGTAGAAAACTGCTTACAAAGTCTGAGCATGGATTTTGTGTGCACTTTTACCCTAAAAAAAGACTGTGTGTATATATGTGTGCACGTGTGTGTATATGCATATATACAATTACATCAATCTAAAATGTTCAGCAATTTACTGTCTTGCATAAATCTTTATATTGTTGCACATCACCATATGTATTTTATAAAAAATTCCAGGTTTCCTTGTCCTTTAGGGAAACACATTTTAGTTTACTTTTGAGTAATGGCTTGCAAAGCATACACAGTTCTCTGCTGTTTTGTAGTAGAGAATCAAAAAGTAAAATATTTTAAAATGTTTTCATGCATTCAATTTGTAACTGTTTTTAGAAAATAATAATTTAAATGCCTGTAATTTTATCTTGTCAGACTAGTCTGATAGTACTCTCAATTTATCCTGAGATAGATGAAATACTCCAACTGCTCAAAAAAGAAACTGTTTTCCTGTATACAAGTTCTGTGCAATTAAATGACAACATGCAAACCATACCAATTTAGGATGTGGTGTTAATGTACTGCAATCGTGTGGATTAGAGCAGTGTTTACCCTCTTCTACTTCTTTCTTCGAGAGGAATTTAAGCTTGGTCTGTTCTCCTTTTACATATGCTCTCATTCTAAGGATTCTAAGCATTATAAGTAGTTCAGACAATACTGTAACTATGATATATATGTGCCGTTTAAAGCAGCTCACTACAATACAGTGATGTCTTTGTAATACTGTATAAAGTGTTTTCACTCTGAAGTATTGTGCAATGCAGTACGTCATGTTGCACAAATTGGTAACTGTTGATGTTTTTTGATGACCCTGGCTGGGCTATGCTGGCAGGATATAGGTCTCGTTTCAGCCCTGGTGAGGGACGCTCAGCATGCACCTCCACCTCCTTACCGGCATGGAGCTGTCCTCTCTGGGCGTGCTCCATATGGGCAGGGTGGATGGCTGCATGGGTTTCATGTGAGGTGTCAGTTGAAAGCATCTGATCTGCAGGGAGTGCCCTTTTGTTCGAAAGTGCAAAAGCTCCTGCCATCTTGCAGAGGGTGAGGTGATACCTGTGCTGTTGCCAAACTCTGAAGCCTTTCCCAGGTGCAAGGCACACTTCCAAAGAGAGAATCGCTTCGTTTCCACTGATTTGTTCTGCTAGTGCATGGGCTGCAGCAGTGCTACTGTGTGTTACGTGTGTAAGTACCTAACTCGATTTGAGTGCAGGCTGTCCTTTGCAGTGGGGTGCTGACACAGCTCAGGAGGGAGGATGCAGACCCGCTGTGTGGCATCTCTCTTCCTGGGCCATATGGCCTCAGCACCAGCTCCTCGCGTAACTCAGCATAGCCTGGCATTTTAGACGGACAAATCTGCTGGGTTCCAGAGTCAAGGCAGGGGTCACCAAGACATGACAAGGCCTCCCTACATGTCGGAGTCCGTGTGGCAGAAATGCACTGTTGAGAAGAGAAGGGCTCTCCCTCTCCCCACTTGGTACTAATCACGGAGAACAATGCTGGCTGCTTTGCAAAATATTAGTACTGCTGTACAAAATCTGGGCCTCTGCTTATGGCCCGCTGAGTCAGACTTGTTTACTTCATTGAAGTATTAATCTCTGTCTCTGATCGGCAGTCAACAACTCCAGGCTCCAGGCTTAATAAAATTTCAAACTGTAGATTATGCAGTTTTGCTGAAAATATGAGGCTTCTATCGCACTTTGAATGATGCATTCTCCCTCATTCCCCTTTGGTCTGTTTTTCAGGGCTGAGGTTAAGAGAGATAATTGATTCCTACCATCCCAAGCCTTGTCTTTTAATTTAAGAATTTTCTTTAGCATCTGCCAGAATCTTCTGCATGCACTCCTGAGAGGTTAAGCAATGAAAGAGCCATTAAATTAACTTCAGCCATTAATTTTTTTCAGTAGGATGAAATAGCACTTCATTATATCAAACAGTTTATGGTTTATTTTATTTGGTATCATGACAAAGAAATGTGGGAAGAAGAGGCTGGTTTTCTGGTTGTGTGAGAGGATGGTGAGTGAGGAGGCCTGTCTTCTGGTCCTGCGGCTTACGTCTGTGTTAGCAAGAAGTAGGACATGAGGAGTGGATCGGTGGAGTGAAACAGCTATTGCCAAGGGCCTGATGTCCACACTACGCAATCGGGAAGGTAGTGGGGAGAGGTTTAGCTATACTTAGCTAACATATCATTTTCCTCACAAATACTTTACTGTTGCTTGTAAAGCCTTTTGTGAGAACAAAGCAGTGTCAAGCTCTGTCACACTGTTCTTTGATGTGTTGTGAGGTCCATAAATGCTATCACTGGTGAGTCACTCCTGTCCGGGGCTCTGATCACTCTCCTGCTAAGCAGTCTGCCCAATGCGCCATGCTATTTACTTGCCACTCCAAGAAACCTGTATGCTCTTTTCACAGGCATAACTTCCCCATTTGGAAAACTGTGTATTTTAGATTTTTCTAAGAAATACATGAAAACAAATCAGTACAAAATCTCCTGGAATGGTCTCTCTGGCAAACTGCAAGTACACCTGCTGAAAAGTCCCAAACAGTAGCAGCAGGATTGAGCTTATGTGTCAGAAACACAGCAAAGGAAGAATGGTCAGTCTTGGAGTGTCTTGAATTAGTGATTCCATGCAGAATTTACGGTGGTTTATAGTGCACCAGCTAGTGAGGCTGAAATGTCACTGCTGCATTGAAAGTTCATATGCCTCCTGCCTTTCTAGTAGTTCTACTTCTGTGTGCATCCAGTCTCACTGTTCTAGTAGATTTTAAAGATCCTCAGTCTTTTGCAATGTATCATATAGCTGTCAATTCACAGACGACAACTTTCCTGCTTTTGGCAATAGACTGTTTCTTTTAGTGGCAATATATTGCTCTACTGGGTCTCGGGACGTACAGTAGTTGGAGCTGCTGAATGTCAGGAAGTTCTGGAGAAACTCAAAGATGTGTTAATGGATCAACCCTCTTGTGCATGCACTGGAAGTCCAGTCTGTTAGATTACCTGTGTGCAAGATGGATAGACTACACGTATGAAGACAGTTTGCCTGGGCCACAGTTGATTTGCAGTGCATCATTTACAGATCGATTATGTACATGTGCTGGGTAGGGTGTGTAAAATCTGCCAGTGATATGTACTGCTTCTTGGTATTATTTCTGCTTATGCATCACTTTAGTTAATAATTCTTCCTAAATCATATAGGTAAAGTAGGTATATATTTCAAACCCAAGAGGAAGTAAGGACCACCTGAACTGGTCATACAAGTCTGTAGAGTAACTATTCTCATCACTTCTGTCTGAATAAAATAAAGATTGGAAAATCCACTTTTTACTCCATTTCAATTTTGGTATAGCTGCCCAATACACAATTGCTTGGAGAAGAATGTTGATGCCACCGTACCAGAATGCTATATTTTAATAGCATGGAGATATTTTTAAAATCTTAGTATATGCTTGGGATTTGTTTTATTCATCTAAGCATAAGCACTGAACATTACTTGTTCTAGATGCCTCTGTAGTTAGTAGAAAGGCATCTCTCAAGAGGGACTCCTCTCATCCTAAGCTATGTCTCCGAAATTCTTTGTGCAAATAGCCCCTGGCCATTGACTATGTCTCTGTAGGGAGCCTGAACAATTCATTCAGATCGGCTAAGCCAGCTGCAGATGGTGAAAGCTGGGAAATCAGATATGGTGAAATTCCAAACTCTTTGCGGACTGTGAGCATTATGCCTGATGATCAGTCTATTCAGCATGATTCTCCTTATTTAAAGAATTATTTCATGTTATTATTTTTCCACTCTGTGGGTAACCGCTTTAAGAAAAGTTGTGGAGAGAGTTCACCACAGCTTTAGATACTGCTCAGCAGGTTGTTCACTTCTATTGTCTTACATGTATTATTTTTGTCTTCTTTAGTCTTCTGGTACCAGTATCACAGTGGATATCGCTGTCATGGGAGAAGCACATGGGCTCATTACAGACCTTTTGGCAGATCCTTCGCTGCCCCCCAACGTGTGTACTTCACTGAGAACAGTGAGCAACTTGCTTAATACGCAGTTAACCTTCCAGGCCATCCATAAGCCAAGGGTGAACCCTTTGGTGTCCTTCAGTGAGAACTACACCTGCTCTGACTCAGAGGAATGTCCAGAGAAAGGAGAGAAGCTAGCTATTCCCAAGGTGAGTACTGGACCCTATCATCTTGTAACTTGGCTCTCCCTAAAGGGACATGTTTGGAAGATGTTTTGTGGGGACTTTTTGCTTGTTTGCTTCAGATTAACATCTTAAGCACTAATCATACTCTACTATAAAAGGACAGCTGAGCAGGCTGTTGGTTTCATAGTAAGACAATTCCTGTCTATCCTTCAACTCATGGCCGGGCTAACTTTGGTTCAGGCATCTTTCAAAGATGATGTTCAACATGGGATAGTTCACATAGATGGTGTGCATATTTCCTTGCAGGTGTTGGCTGGAGCTTAAGAGAGAAGAAATGATAGGGAGCAGAGCAAGCAAAAGCCTTTCAGCATCCAGACTCACAAGTTTTCCCCATTACTTCTCACACAGAAATTCCCCTCCCACTCAAAAGATTTGAGCCACTGCATGTGGGATGACTATCCTAGTCAATGAGCAGTGGGGAATTAAGTAGTAATATGAGGGACCTTTTTGCCCACTTTGAAGATTGGAATTTGAAATTCTGTATGAATTTCAGTCTCTTCTTCCTTCCCTAGCTAGAGGTGTGAAACCTATCGAAGTCAATGAAAAAGTCTATACTGATGACCTCCAGGTGCTTTGGATCAAGTTTAAAATGTATACCAAACAAACAAACAAAATCACCACAATGCTTAGTATGACAAATATCGTGAGCTCATGAGAAATAGTCTTGAGAAGAAAAAGAAGACTGAACGACAAAAAATTATATATTAGTGCCTTGACAGATGGCTTTATGAATGCTCAGGAATCCAACAGGAAATAACCAGTGTTAACCACCCACATATAGTAAGTGAACAACTAGAAAGAACACATCAGCTTTGAAGTAATTTGAATTGCAGGTTCGTTGCTAATTAGCTGTCCTGCAAGGCTTACATTTCACTTTCGAAACTAAACAAAAATACTTTTGTCCTGCAATCTCACTTGTAAAATTAAATATAGGCAGCGTACGTTGCACAGGCTTTTAAGTTTTAACAGTTCAAATGTCACAGCCAGCATTCATTCCAGCATTTCCCAGCACCTGAATTGCAACCCTTGTGATTCTTTTTTAATGTATTTTAGTGTGATGATAATTATTACTTATTTGCCTATGTAGCAGTTGTATATATGAAATGGATGTTCACAGGTTGTTAAGCTCATTTTCCAGTTTATTTTAGTGTACATATCTATAATGGGTGTACTCTGGGCTCTGAGGGGAAAAGTTACATGGAAGAACACTGCCATCACATGAGCAAACACAGTGAACAGATACCAATTTGCTGTTGCATAATACCTCGTGAGGAGAAGAGAAATGAAGGATGAAGAAATGAGTTAATGCTACAGAGGACTAATTTGACTGAAGAATTCACTGACCTAAATGTATTACGGTTCATAAAACTAATAGTTTGCAGTCCTTTATTTCAGTGTCTAAATATAGATTTAGGGTCTTTACCTTAAGCATCTGACACTGAGCATTTTGGCTAAGCAGATAGTATGTTAACATATTTATCTCTAAGTCTGAGCTTCAGAACCACAAGTGTCTTCCATGTAGTATCTCTTAACCCTCTGGCAAAGTCAAAGCTCTCCATCACAGAGACATATTTATTTTAGTTCTTAACTATAAACACTTCACGAGAACTACAAGAGAAGCATCTTAGAAAATTATAGCATCTGCAACAGCAAATCTGCATCCACAAAGACTCTCTATCATCATCCTTTATTATCTCTGCGTGCTGTCAAAAATTCGGAAAAACAATATCAGTCCTATTAGTGGAGAAAAGGAAGAGTCAGGTGAAAGAAAAATGCAGGGTGGTCAGAAGAATCTGCTGTAAACAGTGATGCTTTCTCTAAGCTTTTCAGGAGACATCATACCCCAGAGCATGAAAGTTTTATTTCAGTGAGTGATCTTTGGATTAGGTAGATACAGCAGGAAAAAAAGTTGAAGCTCCCCTGCCTTGTTTTTCCTACAGCCTTTCTTGCTTTGAATCTCTGATTCTGAGCGTTCATGACAGTTTAAATCACAGAATAGTTGAGGTTGAAAGTACATCTGGAGATTGTCTAGTCCAGTCCCTCAGCTCAAGCAAGCTGATCCTGGAGCAGGCTTCTCTAGGCTCAACCTAGAGCAGGTTCCTCAGGAGGATGTCCAGTTGGGCTTTGAGTATCTTCATGGATGTAGACTCCACAACCTCTCTGGGCAACCTCTTTCACTGTTCAGTAATCCTCACAGTAAAAAATACTTTCTTACGTTTAAGTGGGATTTCCTGTATTTCAATTTGTGCCCCATTGCCTCTTGTCCTGTCACTAGAAAGAGCCTGGCTCCATCTTCTTTACACCCGCCCTTCAGGTATTTGTATACATTGGTAAGATCTCCCCTGAGCCTTCTCTTCTTCAGACTGAGAAATCCCAGCTCCCTCAGCCTTTCCTTTTATGACAGATGCTCCAATCCCTCAGTCACCTTTGTGACCCTGACGACTTGTTTAAGTGCCTTTGGCGACATCATATAAGACCAAAATTTTTAAAGAGCACAACCAACATTGGCTGACTCTGGTGAGAGCTCCAAATGTTGAACATCTGTGGCTATGGGGCTGTGGATATATACCTTTTTTTAAACTTGAAATAGGAGGGTGGTCCAGACCCTCCAAACGTTTAAAGCACCGACTCTGTTTTATTTGATTTGAAGGTGGGCACCATAATACCTGGGAGAATCCAGATTTAAGGTACCTCACTATGTGTTGTCAGGCAGAATTAATTAAATTGAAATGTTTTTCTTCTGCATGTTTAAAGTTTTTGTAAGCCTATATAAACTCTAAGCAACTGATTTCTCTCTAGCGCTTACGGAGAAGTTTGCCTCCAGGACTGCTGAGACGAGTGTCCTCAACTTGGACCACAACAACATCAGCCACAGGATTACCTACACTGGAGCCAGCTCCAGTGAGAAGGGATCGCAGTGCCAGCATCAAACCTCATGAATCATCTTCATCCAGGTTACAAATTACCTCCTCTCTCTTTTATGTCTCTCTTTGGGCAAATTTCTTTGGTTCTGTGTGATGATGTCCCTCATTTAAAAATGCTGACTCCGAAGTATGTTAGAACTACTTATTCATGTTTCTCTAAATTGGGTTGCCAAAGAAGTGGCATTCCCAATTTTAGTCAAATTATGCCAAAACTATTGCTATTATTGGGAAGCAAAATGGAAAAAAAAATCTATTTATGCTAGCAAAGTGCAGAATTGCACAATAAAATTAGAAACAAGGCAAGATATCTGGTTAAAGTCTTCTTGATATGCAACGGTTTCCTCCGTGGGTATCGCCCAGCCAAGAAAAAATTCTAACAAGTAACCCAGCTGCTGCACATCACTTCTAAGAACACACCTAGTGATGTGGTCCTGTCATTAAGCCAGTTCATGAAGCACTTCTCCATCCTCTAGATACTAACTTCCAGAACACAAACTCTGATTTCAAGTGGACCCTCCTAAAATACACAATTTTGTGCTTTTCTGTCCATAGAAATGGAGTATCATAAGACCATACAGCACTGTACATGCCCTGCATCCCATGTATGCACTTAATTCCAGAATATAACAAGTGCCTAGGGCTCCCTGAACAAACTCATGCAAATACAATACCAGCAATAGATGGTAAAGAAAAAACATTGAGTTAGGTAAGTCGAAAAGTGATTTAGTGGAGAGAGGTTCAGTCTCTAAGTAGATTTGTTACTGTTGGGAAAAAAGAAGGTATAATCTAGGAGTAAAATTACAAAGGAAGATTACTAGTAGAGGTTGAAAGCAAAGCTGAAAATTAAATGGGCAGTGTAAAGCCTTCCTGCAGGATGGTTGCCGTACTTCCCCTAATTTTAAGTACTGCAGTGGAGCACTTCTTTCCCATTTACCACAGAGCTTAGCTTCTGGGATTCAGAATCCCAATTGTTTCATCCTTAATCCAAACTGTCTCATCTAGTTACAAGGCTTCTAATTTGCCACAAGAAGCAAATAAACACAGCTGTTTTGTTGGGGTGCAGACTGAGTGCCCACTTCTATTTATGATGTATTTATTTACTTATTCATTTAAGATGCCCCATATTTTCAAGGATTATGTAAGCAGGTGCTGGTACTGGAAGAGTCACAACTACAAAGCAATAATTAATAAAGCCTTGAAATGGATTTCAGCAAAATCTCTGGAGGAATTGTACATTATTTGTTTGTCTTGCCTGGAAAAAGAGTTCTGGATTCAATCATGACATATACACTTTAATGTTATGTTCACATAGTGCATCATAGAAACAGAGCACTAGATCTTCAAAGAGGTTTTCTTAGGCTGAGGTACCTACCTACTCCATTTTGTGCCCAAACCAAAATTTAGTTCCAGTTTCCTAAAGCATGTCCCTCAAAGTCTTTCAGTTACCCAGAACCACATTAGTTCTCACTATTCTGAAGAGACAGGATTTTATCTTCTGGCTATAGTCCCTCATGATTGACTATACCAGTTAGGTATTCCTTGCTCACTCTTACCCATTCTCTGTTTCTCAGAGCCTGATCCCTGAGCCAGTAACATAAAATACATAGGCCTCCCATGAAACTGAGGGAGAGAAGTTGTGTCTGCTCACCTGCTTACAGCCAGCAGCTGACTGGCTAGGGCATTTGCAGATGTCTACCCTAATAAAGTTGCTTAGAATCATAGAATCGTAGAATAGTGTGGGTTGGAAGGGACCTCTAAAGGTCATCTAGTCCAACCCCCCTGCCGTGGGCAGGGACATCTTCAACTAGATCGGGTTGCTCAGAGCCCTGTCCAACCTGACCTGGAATGTTTCCAGGGATGAGGCATCTACCACCTCTCTGGGCAACCTGTCCCAGTGCTTCACCACCCTCAGCATAAAAGATTTCTTCCTTCTAGCTAGTCTAAATCTACCCCCCTTTAGTTTAAAGCCATTCCCCCTTGTCCTGTTGCAACAGGCCCTGCTTCTGCTGCCATCTTTTTTATAAGCCCCCTTTAAGTACTAACAGGCTGCAATAAGGTCTCCCCAAAGCCTTCTCTTCCCTAGGCTTCCTCTACCCCAACTCTCTCAGCCTTTCTTCATGGGAGAGGTGTTCCATCCCCCTGATCATTTTTGTGACCCTCCTCTGGACCTGCTCCAAGAGGTCCATGTCTTTCTTATGCTGAGGACTCCAGAGCTGGACGCTTCTCTGCCTGAGGGCATAGATACCTCGCATTTTGGGACTTCCATGCTATGAGATAGCCCGAGATGAACTGCATTTAACCCTCCACAGGGCTGTGGCATATAATCCAGTAACAGCAAGTGAAGGACGGAGTTGAATGGCTGTTAGTCTTGTGGGAAGGGCGCTCGCCTGTGAGAAGACAGGCTTGGGTCCCAGGTGCTGTTAGAATAGACAATACATAGGCCTCCCGACGAGACGAGACGAGACTATTTCAGGTGGAAGGGACCTACAACGATCATCTGGTCCAACTGCCTGACCAATTCAGGGCTGACCAAGTTAAAGCATGTTATTAAGGGCATTGTCCAAATGCCTTTTAAACACTGACAGGCTTGGGACATCAACCACCAATGATATGTTAACTATGATATGTTGCGTAGCTATTTCAACAGGATTTCCTCCTTTCTGGCTCCATGAATATTTTTCTATTCTAGTCAGAAAGGAGCAGAGCCTTCAAAGGAAGGGTGGAGGGGAGCCAGTCTTGCAGCCTGGTAGTTATGGTGCCACCCTGTGAGAATAAAGTTCAGGTCCCCTCCCCACCTCAGCAAGGGCCATCATCTTGGAGCTGGTGGATGAGGAGAGAGCATGGAGACATCCTTTGCTGCGGGGAAAGGAAGAACAGAGCAAAGGCACCAAATTCAAGAAGAAAATTTAAGGATGTGATTTCAGAAGACTTACATGGTTTTCTGCAATTCAAAATTTGGTGCCAGTAGTGGAGAAAAAGACAGGACCTGAGAAGGCCCAACATCCTTAGGGTTTGCTGTTGGATAGCGTGGGTCAGCGTAGCCCCAGAGCGCTGCTTTGGTTGGCCTTTCTTCCAGATACATAAACCTTTCCCATAGAGGAGGCTTTCGTACAGGGAGCCTAGCTGCTCAAGGCAGCCAGCAGAGTACACTGAATGTTTGGTGCAAGAAAAATACATGGTTAGCAAAGTTTCCTTTGTGAGGAGTCCCATGTATCTCAGTAAAAGTAAACATAAAGAAGCTATAACCAAATGGAAATATTCTTCAGTCACCGGTCTGTGGTTCCCAGGGTGCATTTGATTTATAGTGTTGATCCCAGACTCTCACGTAGTATGTAAGCATCCTAAGATGGGAATCAGAGAGAGAAGGAGAGCAATTAAATATTATTGTTGGTCCTTTCCTACGGTTATTATATAACTCTTCATGATGAGCCAACTAAGCAGGCTATCAATTCTTTCTACGTTTAATGTCACCAATTGTATAATTATAGCTCTGTCAAGCCTCCCAGCCTACTGTTTGCAGTTCTTCTTTTACAGTGGGAGAAACAATGTGTATTCCAGAAAGCGGAAAAATGAATCCTATAAGTCTAGCTTTAAAAATTTTGGCAGACCAATACAGATTTGCTTTCAAGGAAAAGAATTTTGAACTGAAGAGAAAAAAAAAAATCTTGATTATCTGCCACTTCCCCTGTACCAAATTAAAGCACACCACAAATCACAGAGAAAGGACCATTTCATGGCTTGAAGGGTAGGACAGGAGAACGACACTGGAATTGCCCTGTGGCAGATTCTGCAGTTACAAAATCTGCAACATGTTCCTCACAGTCTGGGACATCATCTCTAGATTTCTACAGTCACATATTTGCAAAAAATCCCCCTTAAATCTCTGTTTAAGATTAGTAATCCTGTATTCTTCTATCCCCATGTCACTAAACTGGTAAGACATGGTCCTCTTATAGCTTCAAATGATTTGAGAAAAATAATAGAGCTTCCACATTCCTTCCCTCAGTCACTTCTATATCCAGTGGTTCTCCCTTAAGAAATCAAAGGATGTGGTTTGGGGTTTTTTGTTTTGGTTTGATTATGTTTTTCTTTACAGTGGGCCAGTGTGTTATATTCTTCCTGTCAATTAAAAAACAAAACCAGAAAACAGAACAAACAAAAAATAATTTAAAAAGCAGCTGGATTCTTTCTTCCTCTTACTTCATCACAGACTGTAGGAATTTGGGCCACTGAAGACAACCAGCAAATATTTTTGTAGGTAGTACTTGCTCTTCCAAAACAGTAAGGTGTTTGTAGAGTTAAGACAATGTTACATGCTTTTTTCTTTCAGAATGCTTTTATTTTTTTCAAGTTTTTTTCAAGTTCAGCTAGGACTAGGCTGCTTTAAAAGGCTGTCTTCTGCCTTGCATGTCGTCTCATCACTTGGATGTGAGGCTGTGAGGAGAAATGCGGAGCCTGAGACGCCTAGCGGATCTGTCCAGAGAAGTCACAGGCCTCATGATAAGACCCAGTGCTATGTCCTTGCAAGCAGCTAACATTTGATGAGTGTCATTCGGGAAAACAATGATAAATATAATTCTCCTGCTTTACAGAAGTATTTGGCCTCTTCTGGTACACAGAGGTTACAGCCTGAAGGCCAAGAGCATGCACCCATCCTGTGGTAGGGGACCAGCATTTGTTCCACACACACACAGCCACATGTACCCTATTTTCCTTCAGTGAGTTTCTCTTGGATCAGTAACCAAGGGTCTGTCAATAGGGGTTTTTTTTGAGATGCAGCATGCATTTCAGTTGGCTAGAGCATGAAGTGCTTCGCCCAGAGAAGAGGCACACCACTAGCAACAACAATGCAGGGCTCTTACGAGCCTCTTCCAAACTCCTGAGGAGCTCCTCCAGTGCCCAAAGGGTTACTGGGTATCTGCCTTGGTGGTTGCAGCAGAGGAGTCAAGGAGACTGATTTTTCATTTACACTGAGAACCTCTGGCTGTTGTAAGGAGGCGTTAAAAGAGAATATAAATTTAACTTATTTCAAGTCAACTTTTAAGTCTCTTTGTACTGTCAGAACAATATAATGAAGACATCTTTGTATAAATAAAGTGAATGGGCCTGAGCACTGAAGGAAGTCCAGCTTTGGAGTGTCTGCATTGTAAATATTTTTGGTGAATACAATACTGAGCGCCTCACAAATAGCAGTTCAGCCAGCAGATAGATGCCGTTTTCCGCGTCAGATTTTGTGCTATCTCAGTATTGCATACTTCTTGCTGTGGCTCCTAATTTCTTACGATCTGCCATTCAGACTTTTTACTGTGTTGAACGATGCTTGTTTGTGCTCTGATTTTGCAGTGCTGACTCCTGGAACAGCTCAATTCTGATGACAATCACAAAGAGTAGGTCCTTCTCCACCTCCTACGCCATGTCTTCTACCAACCACCTGAATGCCAAAAGGCAGAGCCGGCAAGGTGAGTGAGCATCCGTGGCCCCGTCAGTCTTGCTTATCTGCTTCCCTGTGACTAGCACGTGCAGCTGCTTTTAGTCTCTGTCCAATCTGTGTCTTTTCTTATTTTTCCATCAATATAAATATAGTTATTTCCTTTATTTAAAAAAAACAGTGGCTTAAAATATCATAGTTCATAGTGATGCCATTGTAAATGTTTTGACTTTTATGATTTATAGAGGTTAGTCATGACATGGTGTGGCAAGTCCGATACTAAATCGTGTTGTGATTTATAGCCATGTAATTCCCTTGACTACAACAGGGCTGAGAACAGAGTGTTTTGTATAACATTTGTTAAATTAACTGTCTGTGCAACATAATGCCATTCAGAGCTGTAGGCAGCAACTAACCTGTCTTATGCAAACGTATCCAAGACACGGCCATTATAACTCAGAGGTCTGTCTCCGTATATTCGTTATTGAGAAAGTCCAGGTAGTTCTTACTGATTTTTAGAGATGAGAAATATGGGGGTTTTTACTCAGCAGTTAGAGGCTTTAAAAAAATGACTCCTGTTTTAACTGAGGGAAAGAAATTGAGAAGGTGACTTCTTAATTGGTAATGAAATGTGCAGTATGACAACCATGAATCTGTCTTAATCCATAGTAATGTGGTTCTCTTCCCTGTACAAATGCAGGATAAAGTAATGTTTACCCATGCTTTAACTTGTAATTCAAAATGATCACAAGGCCTTCCTTTTTAAATCAGTCCGATTTTTTTTCCCAAACATGGAATAATGTTGAGACAATGTTATTCAGAGATACTGCCTACCCAGACATCAGATGGAAATTGATAGGTGCCTGAGGCCTGACATCGGAAAAGTCAAGAGAACCCAAACTTAGAGATGGGCTTGAAGATACGGCTGCGCAATTACTCTGCACATCTAGCACTGTCACATTGCATCTCCTTTTCAAAATGAAGAGTTTATTTAATCTCCTTTTGTACAGAAGCTGCTTTGTTATACCACAGTGAAGATTAAGTAACACAGTATTATCTTAAAAGATAATAGGCACATAGGCAAATGAATAAAACTGAAACTGGGAAATAATGGAGATATAGTACCAAGAGTCTAGGAATGTGTTTTAGAACAAAACAAATCCAACTTGGACTTGTGATTTTCAG